TGGAGTGTTCTAAGGATATCAATAAGGTCAAGTTGGCTGATAGTGTTATTTAAGTTTCCTATATCAATGCTAATTTTCTGCCTAGTTGTTCTACTGATAACTAAGAATACCATATTGAAGTCTCCTATTATTGTTGGATTTTCTATTTTTCTATTTAATTTTGTTTCATGTATTTTGGTGTTCTGTTTTTGGTATGTATATGTTTATAATTGTTATATCTTCCTGACAAATTAACACTTTTATCATTATAAAATGCCCCACATTATGTCTAGTAACACTGTTCTCTTAAAGTCTATTTTGTCTAATATTAGTATTGTCATTCCAGCTCTCTTATGGTTACTGTTTGCATGGTATATCTTTTTTCATCCTTTTACTTTCAACCTATTTGTATCTTTTACTTTAAAGTATGTCTGTTTAGTTGGATCTTAGTTTTCTTATTCATCCTGACAATTTCTGCTTTTAATTGGAGTGTTCAATCCATTTACATTTAATGTAATTGTTAATATTGTTGAATTTATATCTGCCATCTTGCTGTTTTCCATTTATTTCATTTTTTGTTCCTCTGTTTATCCTGTACTGCCTTTATTTTTTACCATTTTATTTAATTTATTATTTTTAATTTGCATCCAATTTAGCATATAGTGCAACAATGATTTCACGAGTAAGATTCCTTAATGCCCTTAACCATTTAGCATACCCCCCTCCCAAAACCCCTCCAGTAGTCCTCTGTTTGTTCTCCATATTTAAGAGTCTGTTTTGTTGCCCTCCCTGTTTTTGCTTCCCTTCCTTCCCTTATTTTCATCTGTTTTGTATCTTAAAGTCCTCATATGAGTGAAGTCATATGATGTTTGTCTTTCTCTGACTAATTTTGCTCAGCATAATACCCTCTAGTTCCGTCCACATGGTTGCAAATGGCAAGATTTCATTCTTTTTGATTGGCGAGTGATACTCCATTGTATATATATGCCACATATTCTTTATCCATTCATCCATTGATGGACATTTGGGCTCTTTCCGTACTGTGGCTATTGTTGATAGTGTTGCTATCAACATTGGGGTGCATGTTTCCCTTCAAAAAAGCATACCTGTATCCCTTGAATAAATACCTAGTAGTGCAACTGATGGGTCATAGGGTAGTTCTACTTTTAACTTTTTGAGGAACCTCCATACTGTTTTCCAGAATGGCTGCACCAGTTTGCATTCCCACCAGCAGTGCAGAAGAGATCCTCTTTCTCCGCATCCTCACCAACATCTGTTGTTGCCTGAGTTGTTAATGTTAGCCATTCTGACAGGTGTGAGGTGGTATCTCATTGTGGTTTTGATTTGTATTTCCCTGATGATGAGTGACGTTGAGCATTTTTTCATGTGTCAGTTGGCCATCTGGATGTCTTCTTTGGAGAAGTGTCTATTCATGTCTTTTGCCCATTTTTTCCACTGGATTATTTATTTTTTAGGTGTTGAGTTTGATAAGTTCTTTATAGATTTTGGATACTGACCCTTTATCTGATATGTCATTTGCAAATATCTTTTCCCATTCCGTCGGCTGCCTTTTAGTTTTCCTGATTGTTTCCTTCACTGTGCAGAAGCTTTTAATTTTGATGAGGTCCCAAGTAGTTCATTTTTGCTTTTGTTTCCCTTGCCTCAGGAGATGTGTTGAATAAAAAGTTGCTGCGGCCAGGGTCAAAGAGGTTTTTGCCTGCTTTCTCCTCGAGGATTTTGATGGTTTCCTTCTTACATTTAGGTCTTTCATCCATTTTGAGTTTATTTTTGTGTATGGTGTAAGAAAGTGATCCAGATTCATTTTTCTGCTTGTCACTGTTCAGTTTTCCCAGCACCATTTGCTGAAGAGACTGTCTTTTTTCCATTCCACTGATTATTCCTTCCTGCTTTGTCAAAGATTAGTTGGCCATATGTTTGTGGGTCCATTTCTGGGTTCTCTGTTCTGTTCCATTGATCTGAGTGTCTGTTTTTGTACCATCCTGTACTGCCTTTTTATGCAGAAGAGATATTGTATAATGTACCACTTTAATTTCTTTGTTTTTATTTTGTTTTACTTATTTTCCTAGTAATTTCTTATTGTAATATATCTGAATTCATTACAATCTATTTTAGAGTAATTCTAACTTAATTCCACTTAACTATAGAAAATTTACTCCAATAGAACTCCATTTCTCTCTGTTTTGTAGCCATTATTATTATAAACATTACATTTTCATATGTCATAAGCCCAACAACACAGTTTTATAATTTTTGTTTTTATGCAACTATTATTCAAATTCATTAAAAAAGAGTAATGGAGGGGTGCCTGGATGGCTCAGTTGGTTAAGTGTCTGACTTTGGCTCAGGTCATGATCTCCCAATCCATGGATTTGAGCCCCATGGACTCTCTCTCTCTCTCTGTCAAAATTAAATAAACTTAAAAAAAGGAGAGTAATGGATATTTTCAACTATCTTTTATATTTTCTATGTAATTGCCATTACTAGTGTTCTATATTTCTTTGTGTGGTTTTGAGTCACCATCTGGTATCATTTCCTTTCAACCTAAAAGACTCCCTTTCTTATTTCTTGTAAGGCAGATTTTCTCACAAGTTCTGTTCTTTGTTTTTCTGGTTAAGGTCTAAATTTTGGGACACCTGATGGCTTAGTCAGTTAGGCATCTGACTCTTGATTTTTGCTCGGGTCATGATCTTGTGGTTTGTGAGTTTGAGCACCCCATCAGGCTCTGCACTTCAAAATAAATAAACTTAAAAAAAAATCTTTAAGATGTAAATTTTGCTTTCAGTTCTGAAGGATAGATTGCTACATATAGAATTCTTGGCCAATTTTTTTTTCTTTCAGCATTTTGAATATGTCATTCTACAGTCTTCTGACCTCCATTATTTCTGGTAAAAATTCAGCTGATAATTTCATTGTGTTCCTCTGTATGTGAAGAGTTATTTCAGGTCCCAGATTTTCATTTGATCATTTTTATAATATCTCTCTTCATTTATATTTGATTAGTCGATACAATCATACTTTCCTTTAATTTTGTATTGTTCCTGTTAGTTCTATGAACATATTTATGATAGTAGTTTTGAAGTCCTTCTCCCTTAGGAGACAGTTTCCATTGACTACTTTTTTTTTCTTCTTTATGGATCCCTCTATCCTATCTCTTTGCATGCTGTAATTTTTGTTGTTGTTGAAAACTATACATTTTAAATAATACGTTTGAACAACTCTAGATTCCAAATCCTCCATCTCAGAGGTTGTTTCTGTTGTTTCGTTTTTATTTGTTTGTTTAGTAACTTACCTGGACTAATAGTGTAGCATCTGTCTCTTTTGCATTTTATAGCTGCTGATATATCTTGTTTTTCTATTTTTTAATCATTGTCTAGGCCAGCTTCCTAAAAATTGCCCCTGAGTCATCATAGCTTAATGGTGAGACAATGATTGATTAGAGGTTGTGCTTACCTTAAGCCAGTAAGACTTCTAACCTTTGCCAGTGGATCTGTGTGTGATTTGGGGAACACATTCCAAATTTAAACAGTTTACAATTCTCACTGACTTTTCCTTTTTGACATGCTTTGTTATGTCTCCTTTATGAATGTGCTAGGTTTCACATTCATCTGTCAGTACATGGATAGTTAGTGCCCTCTCCAGTCTACTGAGCACACACAGCTTTCCAGACTACAAAGGGTATGTGTGGGCTTATCAAGGCCCACTGTGACTGTCCTATTCCCAAAATTTCCCTGTTAAATTTCTAGCAAGTCTCTGCTGGTCAATTTCTTGACCCTACCAGTATCAAAACTTGTAGGTAACCAAGGTGTTGGCCTTACCTGGGTCATGTGCTTCATTCCAAATCAAGTTAGCTCTTTCCAGCAGTGGAGCTGCTGGTTTTTAGGATTTTCCTTGCCCTTTTAGAACACCAAGTTAATAGAAACTGAGGGAGGATGTTGTACTCTAAATTGTTTAACCCAGCCACTTTGTTATTATTGAAAATTAAGATTTTTCTTTTGCTTTCTTTTTTTTTTTTATTAACCATTTGTTTATTTTTGAGAGACAGAGAGAGACAGAGTGCAAGCAAGGGGGGGGGGCAGAGAGAGAAGGAGACACAGAATCTGAAGCAGACTCCAGGTTCTGAGCTGTCAGCACAGAGCCTGACGTGGGGCTTAAATGCATGAACTGTGAGATCATGACCTGAGCCGAAGTCGGATGCTTAACTGACTGAGCTCCCCGGACACCCCAAGATTTTTCTTTTTGGTACAATGACCATCTTTATAAAGCCTTGCTTTCTTACCATTTATATCAGTTTCCTAAGCCTGTCATGACAAATTACCACAAACTCAGTGGTGTAAAACAGCAGAAATTTAGTCTCTCACAGTTCAAGGAACCAGAAGCCCAAAATCAGAGCATTGCCAGGGCTGATTCCTTCTGGAGGCTCTATGGGAGAATCTACTCTATGCCTTGCTCTTAGCTTCTGGTAGCTACCAGCGATCTTTGGCATAACATCATCCCTCCAGTCTTTGCCTCTGTCGACACATGGCCCTCTTCCCAGTATGTCTGTGTACCTGAACCTCCCTCTCCTTTCTTTTATAAAGACACCAGTCACTTGATTTAGGGTACACCCTGATCCCATATGGCCTCATCTTAACTGCATCTTCAAAGACCCTATTTCCAAATAAGGTCACATTCTGAAGTTACAAGTGGACATGAACTTTGGGAGACAATATTCAACCCAGTATTATTCATTATAATTCATTATAAAGTATCACCCAAAATCAGTATGGTCTCTCTTTTGTGGAGTAGGAGATCTTTTAAAAGACTATTTGAAAATGAGGAGAATGGTAAAATAGCACTTGACTTTTTGTTATGATGGTTCCTCGAGTTAAACTAGTTCACACCCTCTTTTTGGCTATTTTATTCACATTGTTAAGAAAAAAGCAGAGAGATATGTGGACAGGAAAATGTTGGCAGAGCCTTACCCTTCTCAACTCTGACTTGCATGTCTGCTTTTAATCTAGAGCCAAATAACTATCGAACCATGCATGGCCGGGCAGTAAATGGCAGCCAGTTGGGAAAGGATTACATCCAGCTGAAGAGCCTGTTGCAGCCCATCCGGATTTACTCCAGAGCCAGCTTGTATGGCCCTAATATTGGGCGGCCCAGGAAGAACGTCATTGCCCTCCTAGATGGGTAGGTCATATTTTTTAGCAGTTCGTATGACACTATTCATAAGTGTAATGGATTAATGTATTTGTATTTTTCCTGGTTACTTGTAGTCTTAAGAAAGATGGAGAGACTTTTTCCATAGTGACTTCCCCAACTCTAAATTAATGATTCTCCATCAAACAACGGAAGAACTTCTCATCTCTCCAGGCCTTCCACAGTCAGCAGGAGGTGGTGGGACTGGGGAAGGGTATCACAATCTCTTGGGCAGGTTGGAAGGGATTACATTGTTTTAAAAAACACATTTAATATTAAAGCATTTGATAGCATTTTATATTTTTAAAAAGTCAAAATACTATTACTGTATTCTTGTGACCTCTTATAGAAAGTAAACCTTAACATAACCCTGGCCGTTGGAGCTGGATTAAAAATTTGAGAATCACTATTACTACTTGTAGATTACTACTTGTAGATTCAAGCACTACTTAACTGATAGACTCATTAGTAGGTATTCTAGAGAATTGCTACCATGTGATTACTTTGACTGAATCTAATAATCATTCTAAGCATTGGTTATGGATGAGGCACTATGCCCAGTCTTGCTGGTGGGCCAGGCCCAATTGAACCCATGCAGGTTATGTCCAGTTATATAGGGTCAAAGGGAATGTCTGAGGGAATGTTATGAGGAAGGCTGAAGAAGAGGAAGGCTGTATGTTGAATCCAAGACCCAAAGTGGAGATGTGACTTAAGCAGGAAGGGTGGGAACTATGAAGTGGGGAGAGTCAGAAGTTCCCCCGAACACAGAGTATGCACCAAGACCCACCTGTTATGTGCCATCCTGTCATACTCTGGGATGAATATGGTTATTCCTGAGAATTCAAAGATGAGTAAGACATTTTCCAGTGAAGTGCACATTCTAAATGAAGTTAGATAAATGCCATATGAATACAAAGAGAAATTATCTGAGGAGAGAAACCTTTGGCTAACCTCCAGGATGGCCCTTGTGACTTAATGGCTCTTAGAACTCTCTCTCCTCCTTTTGTGGTGCCCTAGTCTTGATCTAAGGTAATTAACATAGCAGACATTATTGAAGGTTTGGGAAAGCATACAGATTTACAGTGTAACAACGTTAATAACCTGAAATTTAATTTTAGGCACTTTCCTTTTTACAAAGAATCCCTAAGTCCTTACTTCAGCTCTCCTTTCCCCATCCTTCTCTTTTCTCCCCTTGTCTCTCAAGAGCAACTTCCCCTTTTTCTTACACAACAATTTCATGATTTTGGCTCCTACCCACAAATTCAGCTCTTGGTTTCCTTTTGCATACTTTCACTGAACTTGAAAATTACTCCGTGTGTGCGGGAGGGGGTTGTGATGGAAATAGGTTGATTTCCTTTTATGTATTACAATTGAGGAATAAGAATCACATGTATAGAACTTTATTCATAGTTCATAATATATAATAAAGCAAGGTGTGTGACTATCATTTTAATCCATGTAGTTATTCTTTTGGATTGTCCTTTTTCCGTAATGATTTCATCAATGTATTTCATGGTACTGAAATGCCTTTTCACTAACATGGCCTACAGGGTCAATTCACTCATCCTGCAAACGTTCCTTGAGTAACTGCTATGTTCTGGGTGTTATGTTCAGAACTAGGAATGTAATCATAAACAAAAACAGATACTTTCTCTGCCTTCATGGAGTATACAGTATGGTAAGGGAGACCTGGAGATTAATTAGCTGATCTTAAAATTAAGACAATAACAAGGAGAGGAACATGGTGCTATGAATGACTATAAAGGCTGGGATTTAACTGAGTTAGGAGGTCATGGAATATGGAGTCCACTTCCCCATACATCCAAAAACTAATAGGACTCCAGAGAATAGAGAAAGTCATTAGGGAAAAGGAAAGGTACTGATAAGAACTTTTAAAAATTTTGTATGCCAGAAAAAATGGAAATTTATCTTTATTAATGTGTATGTAATAAAAATACAGTGAATTATAACTTGAAACACATAAACATTCCCAGCAACTCAACCAACAATAACAAAAATGTCAGCATTCTAAATTACCAGCTCTTTTCCAATCCTCCTGGTTATACCAATATAGTTTTACATAGTTATGATCATTCTATATGCATCATTTTGAGTTCTGCATTTTTTATTCATTGCTTTATGTTGCCCTTTTATTATTTCTACATAGTTTTCATATTTGTCATTCTTAATAGCAATGAAATATTCCATTGCATTAATGTACCAAAGTCTGCTTAAACATTCCCTCACTGCTGGGCATTTGGGTTGTTTCCAGTTTTTGTCTGTAATATATAGCACAGCTATAAACATCTTTATACAAATAGGTTTTTTATTTCTTTTGAATTATATCCTTGGGCTATATTCCAAAAAGTTGTGTTTCTGGGTCAAAGTATATGATAATTTTTATGGCTTTCATATTTGTTGCCAAATTTCTTTCCAGAATGACTTCACCAGGTTGTAGGGCAGCAGTGTATTAGTATATCTTTCCCCCCAATACCCCACAGCAATGACTATAGTCATTTTTACTAATTTACTCTATTTTAATTAATGCAAGACTGTGCCACATGGCTGTTTAAATTAGAATTCTGTTAACTATGAAAAGAACTGAACATTTTCCAAATCCTTAGGTTGTCTCCTTTCCTGCTATCCCACGTTTGGTTAATGACACCATAACCATTTGCCCGAGGTGCAGACCAGGAGGCCATTTTACATTCATTCCTCTCTTTTGTTCACATACTCCATTAGTTAGTTATTAAGTTCTGTTATTTCTGACTTCTTAGTATCACTCACATCCCAGCTTCTTCTCATTTTTATTTTAAACCTTATCATTCTTTCTCTTAAATGGTTTTTCTATATGTAGTCTCAGACTCTAATTATTTCTCCATATATTTGTTCTGAGTAGTTTTCTCTTCTTTAATACAGCATGTGGTCAAATCACTCTTGCTTGAAATCCAAACACTTTCACATGCACCCCTGGCCTGTAGGGTCTAGTGCCTGCCTCACTTTGCAGCTAGGAATCAGCTATACCCCCTGTGCACAATCTGCCCTTAACTACATCAAAGTATACCTATGCCCCTTTTTAGTTTGTGTAATTTTCTTTGGAATATCACTCTCTACTCTCATTTTTCTTCTTTCCAATAGGTCTTCTCTGACATCCTCAGGCAGAATTTCTTACCACTGCCTCTGTCTTTATAATAGCATTTTTAATTTTTTTTCTCTAGCACCTATCAAATTGATGATAAATTACTTATTTATATATCTGCCTTCCCTAAAAGACTGTGAACTAGGATCAGGACATGGTCTATATTTTACTCATTTAGCCTCAGAACCTATGAATACAGTAGGTGTCTTATAAATGCTTATTGAATGAATGTTGACTTATTCAACAGCTGGTTCTAAATTCATTGATCTAAAAGCATAAATGTGATTGTGAAGCATTGTAAATCATTGTATAGTAATATTAATAAATTATGGTGATTTATATAAATCATAATCATTAGCTTTAGCTTTACATAACCAGTTTTAAGCTTTTTTTCTTAGGTAGTTACAGGACTAAACAGGAATATCTTCTCAGTTAGGATATAACTTCACTAGGACAGCGATAGAAACATGAAGTCTCATGTTTCTTCAGGGACTAACATATTGCCTGGAATATGAGAAATAGTTCATAAAATGCTTGTTTTATTATTTCCATTTCCTCATTGGTGAACTGGCCTTTTTTTAGTCAGTGATTTGTATCTAAAGTGTAAGAATTGTTCTTTAGGGTTATATCAGTTTCCTGTTTCTCTTTAGTAAACTTGTATGCAACATCTATATAATGATAATTTTATCTGAATCTATTGCTTTTCTTGTTACTTTGAAACATGTTTTTGTTTTTTCAGAAGTTTATTTTTATTATAATTGTTCTTGTCTACTTTCTTGTTGATAGCCTTTGCTGTTTATTCCCTTACTCATTTAGGATAAAGTTACTATTTAATTTTCATCTAGGCTTTCTAATGTTTTAATTTCCCAGCTCTTTTAACTTACAAAGTTTTAACAAAGTTGGAGTTTGTTGCTGTAACTGCTACAGAGTAAGGACCTAATCTATTTTTGGTTAATGTGGCAGTGTGAAGAAAAGCAGATATTCAGTGAAATAGTGTTTATTGAGGCTCTTTTTGAGGCTTTTAAATCCTAGTGAGATGACTACTAAATTCCCTCCTCAACATATATTGAACACCTACTTTGTATTTGATCCTTGCTTAAGTGCTGAGTATATATTGAAGAAAAAAAGTCAAAGTGTTTCTTACCTTCTTGGAGCTTAGCAAGAGAGCCACAGTAAATAAGAAAATAAATTATTACAAAATATGTGTAATTCTGTGAAGGAAATGATCAAGATGACTGGGGTTGAGGGTCTATTTAGACAAGGTGATCAGAAAAGACTTATCTGAAGAATAATTTATTTAAACCAAGAACAAAAGAATGAATGGGAGCCAAATGTTCAGGGTAGAGGGAAGAAAGTTCTAAATAGAGGTTCTAGGTCATGTTTGTCAATGACCTGAATCAGAAATAAGGATAAGACATTTGAGGAATAGAAAGATGGACAGTATAGTGAGAAAAAGAATGGTAGATAGGCCAGGACCAGATCATTACTGGGCTGTGTATACCATGGAAAAGAAGTTGTATATTTTATTCTATGAGCAATTAAAAATCATTACAGAGGTTTTTAAAAATTTTTTTGACATTTTTATTTATTTTTGAGAGACAGAGGGAGACAGACCATGAGCGGGGGAGGGGTAGAAAGAGAGGGAGACACAGAATCCAAAGCAGGCTCCAGGGTCCGAGCTGTCAGCACAGAGCCTGACATGGGGCATGAGCCCACAAGCCACAAGATCATAACCTTTTCCAAAGTCAGATGCTTAACCAACTGAGCCATCCAGGTGCCCCATTACAGAGTTTTTGTAAGAGCAGTGACATCTACTGTATTCTTTGTGCCAAATAGATTTCAAGGTACAAAA